GACGTTACGTCTTAATCTGTCCTGCTTTACTGTGATACTTAGCGTCTGTTTTGATCCGTCCCCTCCACCTGCCGCTCCCCCTCCTCTCCTCCCCCCGAGCTTCCTGGATACCGGTGCAGTGTTGCTGCCCTCTGTCGGTCCCGGAGCACTGCTCTTGTCCTCACGCTGCCCTTGCTCTCGCTGTGCTGCTGCTGCCGTTTCCTGCTCGTCGTCATCGCTCACTTCCTCCTCTCCCATTCTCCCTCACGCATTCCCGAAACTGCCAAAACCAGAGAAAAATGTCTGTAGTTCTTTGCTCCGAAGCTTCAAAAAGTGCTAAGTCTGTCTGTGTGTGTGTTTGTGTGTATGTGTATGTGAGAGGTGCAGGATGAGGGAGGAGGAGAGGGCTGCGGGCTTGTGGTGCCGTTGTGTTGTTGCGTTTAAAAGGTCGGCGAGGTGATTGAGGTCGTCTGCGGTTGTCTTCGTTGGTTGCATCATTGGCCGGCTCGTCATTGAGGTCGTCGGCATCTTCTCGGATCGCGCATCACTGGGGTCCGCAGTGTAGTGCAGCGATGTTTCTGGTCGGGTGGTGGGCCGCGATGGAGCTGGAGTGCGTTTCGGGCTCTGGTACTTCGAGAGAGACTCTTCCAGCATTGAACTGCATCCCCTCCCCGCAGCTTTTTGCTCACACTTCAACATTTCACGGGGTTTCAGGCTGTTCACCGGCATTTTCATAGCTTATATTTTTCAGAAGTTACCTATTAAAATATCTGCGTCGCATCCTTCGCCCTGTAATGGTCACGGGCTCCGCTGTGCTGCTCCTGCCAAACATCGACACGTACGGGCCATGAGTGGCTTCTGTGCTGCTGTCTTTGCCACTGGCCAGTTCCATCGTAGATTCCCGCAAGCACCGCCAAAGACTGTACTTGTTTCCACCTCTCACTCGGTGCACGCGCAGCACTGCAGAAATAGCGGAAGTTGGGGGAAAGGGGAAGGGAGAAATGTCTTTTTATGCGTTTTTGAATAAATCATCGGGATGGGTGTGTTTGCCTGTCTCTATGCTGATGTGTCGTTCCCAGCCAAGTGCAGATCCGAGGACGTGAAAGCACCTCTTCTGCGTTTGCTGCTGACGTTGCAGCCAAGCATCAGGAGTTGGACGTCAGCGCAGTTTCAGTGCAATCTTGCCAACTGCATATTTCCGACTATTATAGTCGAGCATCGACAAATAACTCAAAAATCATTGTAGGGAGCTAAACTGTTGTACGTTTTTGTCGCATTCATCCGCGCTGAAAGCTCGCAGTGGCTGAACGCGGGAAGCGGTGAGCTCCTAGTTCCTGGCACTTTCCCGATCATTTTCCTGCTTACCCTCGTCGCTAGACAGATTTGTTCGGCAGATGATGTGCCGGTGGTGATTCATGGTTTACGTGTTCTGTAAAGAAGTATCCGGGATGTTCGTCAGGAATTGTTTTGGTCCGCAAAGTGCACTTCTCACTGATGCATTCCTTTCGTTTCGGAGAGGCAGTGGAAGTGTGTGCTGGGGCGATGTCAGGGCAATGCCCAAGCGAGTTCGGCTGCACCCACTGGGGCACATAATGCCCCCTTCCAACAGCTTCAAGCGTCCTTCAAAATTCGCTCGTTTTGTATGAGAGCGTCATTTCATTGGAGTTTTTGCAGAATTCGACGCGTAAAGAGCTGGCATAATTTGAGGAATTTTTGAGATGCGATGGGTCTAAAAGAAGGATGGGGCGTGGGGAAGAGAAAGAGGGGGAAGTGTTCGGGAGGCAATTTAAGACCAAGTCGGAAAAAGGATAGTAATACCAGGAATGCGCTTTTGCACATCCATTTCTTATGTCTTTGTGCAGTAGTCAAGCGTCATAAATGAAGCGTGGTACTTTCATTTGCCTCGACATTTTGATCCGCTGCAAGCCCATCATAACGCGCATTTTCGCGCCATCCAGGTAGCTAGCTGGCAACATCCTCCTTATTGCTGCCAGCCGAGTTGCATTATCTGGTGACCGATGCGCGTACGCTTCGTCATTTCACCTGTTTGCTTCGAACTGATGTCGCATAAATCAGTTTCGTCCGCCATTTTTGTGGTCTTCCAGCATTTACCAGCACAGCGCACAGCGCTCACAACCTGTCTGTAGGGTTATAGCGGAATTTTGACTTGCAGGAATTTCCAACTCCGGATTCTGTGACACGCTAAGCCTCACCAAGCTCTTGCTTCTGTTCTGAAGCATAATATCTTTTTCAAAGAGGCCAGTTGTAAGCTTACGAAGCAGTGTACCATTTTACAATAAATAGCAGCGCGCACCAGGGCAGCTGGTGCGATCATGCGTTTTGTGCAATTCCGTCCACCGAACGATTGCTCGCTAATGATTTTCACTGCTTTGCACTTTGTTCTGTGCAAAAATAGTTGAAATGTTGTTTGGTTTTTAAGATGCGGAATTTCTCACTAGAAATCTCATGCACCGGTACATGAAAGCTGAATTTGAAATAATAAACCATAAGGATTGTACTCAGTCGTCATGTATAAAGTGGTGTTTGACTGTGCAAACTGTCTTTCATCCTTTAGATATAGTAAGTTGATATTTTACGATACAGCCTGTGATCCCTTAGCTGTAAACATAGACCGGACTATGCTTCTCGAAGGGTGAATATCATTCCGCAATTTCAGTCTTCTAATTTTCTGGCTTCTGAGTGGTTTTTGCGACAAAACTTCCATGTGTTCGTAGCTCGGCATAATTAGGAACTGAATTCGAGTTTGTGAATCCCTTGTTTAGGCAGGAAACATCCTTCTGAAATTTTCAGCCTCCTAGCTCCTCTGGCTTCCGAGATAATGATTTTTCCCCCCAAAACTTCCATGGGGATTAAAGATTTGCAGAGTCGTATGCGGGCGGAGTATACCACGCTAAAATTTCAGCTTTCTAACTTTGGCAGTTCATGAGATAATAATTTCTCTACCAAAACTTTCATGGGGCCGTACGTGGTACCCAAGGGTGCGTGAAGGTTAAATCCAAATTTGCGGAGTTGTATATGGGCAAGGGGTCATCAGCCTAAAATTTCAGCTTCCTAGATTCTACGGTCCCGAGGTAATAGTTTACCTTCCAAAAGTTTCGCAGGATCGCACGTGTTACCCGCGGGTATGAGGAGGCTGAATTTAAATTTGCGCTTACACGTGAGTGGGGAACATTCCTCTAAATTTTCAGCTTTCTCGTTTCCTTGGTTCTCAAGTTGAAAGTTGCGGACAAGTTGCTGTGGACACACACACACACATACACACACAGACAACCTGTGACAATACGCGTTTTGTGCAGCTGTTGCACAGCACGAAACGCACAATAAAAATGTACTGAAGCGTTGGCTCCCCGTAAACTTGTACTTGTCATGTATGAGGGTACGTGGAATTCGATATTAGTGCCATTACGACAGTGCAGCAGCTACAAGTCAAGTGCAGATATGCGACGCCGGTCAGCCTTGAAGTGTGTCCCTACAGTTTGTACAGGCCTCCTCTCCGGTGCATACGTCGGATGTCAATTCAAAAGCAGTTGCCTGAGTTTGCTTCCTCCTGCTCACCACTTTTATTGGCGAACGGTTGTCAGCAAGACGAACAACATGTCTCACTCATCTAGTCTACTTTTCCGTGTGATCGCAATGCGTGTTGCTCGTCTGGCTGGCATTCTGTTTGCCTATATCAGCAGATGATTGATACCGTGAATTAAGGGTACTGAATTTCTTTGGCAATGCGAACAGATTCCCAGCGCATGTTCTCCATGTCTGTTCGGTCCATCATCCGACATCCATTCTCAATTCCTAAGTGCCATCATCGTAGAATGCTGCAACTTTTTTGCACTTTTTCAGGTGCTGCTTCTTTTGGGCCTCCTGTTTCTGCCGCCGGCAACTGTAGTTCTTGAGCGATATTTTCAGTTTCTTCTGACTTGTCAGAAAAGCAGGAAGTACTTCGTGTTCCCAGTTTCATCCTCTTCAGGTTCTTTCTTTGTTTTAACAGTATTTTCAAAACAATATTTCTGAGTCCCAAAAAAGTCTCCAGGTCCAACCGTCGAGGCTGAGTACGCTTAGCTGGTTTTGCGAAGCTAGAGAGCTCCTCAGCAAAGCACTTGTAGTTCTGGTTGATATTCGCTATCATAGTCCAGTCGTTTTTCCCGACTTCTCCTTCCGTCTTCTTACAGTCGTTTTGCTGGGTGTGTCATGCTGACTTTCCGGGTTCAATATTCTTTTAACGGCGGGAATAATACGTGCTTTTGCTCGCAGACTCTGGTAATCGTTTTCTGTACTGAAAAAGTCTGAGAATCGATGAAGATATGTTCTCTCTTTTCTATTTCCAACCTTTGTTTTTTAACTCAGGCCAAATCCCATATCTGTTTTCAACCGTTCTGGATCCAGGTGTTTTCAAAAGCAGTATTATTAGTAATCAGAAATCTTCGTTGCTGCCAGCATGTAGCCCCTGTTTCCTTCCCTCCCTCCTCCTCTCCCGTTCTTTCGCACCTACCGTGCCTGTTGAATCTTCCTCCAAACTTTTCCAGTATATTTATTTTTTTGTGTTGAAAACGCCCGTTAGAGTTTTGTTGCAGACTTCATGGCCGAGGTGTTTTAACGTCAGTATAGAACTTTTTACTTTATTATCTATGATATCGCCTTTCTTTTTAGGCTTTTGAAAAGCGGTAAGGCCTGGCCCTGGCTTTGGTGCACTGCTGATGCGTTTGGCTCACCCTAGACAACCTTGGGCACATAGCTACAAATTGATTAACCATCAACACACAGTGGACGAAGTCTTTTATTGACATTATAAAGATCGTGTGCTGCACTGTATCAGCAATATCAGCTTCTTACTGATTTCAAATTTTCAGGATTTACCAACTCTGGCAAACAGTACCGTTCGAGCAGCACGTTTGGCGTTCTTCGTTTTCCTGCTTCTTTCGAGACGCTCCACGCTCATTCCTCCCAGCGATAAGCTGTTAACCGGACTTTTGTGATGTGCTTGCGGCGGTTGAGCGATTCAGCTGATGAAGACTACTTCCGCTTGATGCGTAACTGCAGAGGTATTGTTCATTGGCTGAAAGCGAGACCGCAAGCCGAACTCCCTTCCATCGCCTCACATTCAGGCCTTTTGCCCTCTTATTTATTTCTTGCATTCCGTCTCGAATCGATCTACTTTTTCTTATAAGCAGTGCGAGATAGCTCGCCAAATGTGGACCAAGTGCTGCGCGAGATGGCTGATCAGTTGTGGATTATATTTT